TTCCACCCCACCGTATAACGTTACGAAGGCAGGACGCAAGGAAAAGACTCAAGGGCCGAGGAATCGAATCAAGTGAAAAGACACGTCCTCGTATCTTTAGCGTCACTTCAAAGCGTCGTCAATTAATGACTTGCACGTTTGGATTAACTGCATGTCTACATTAAAGTCATTCTCTATTCTATAATGATCAATAAAGAAACATTCATTTAATAATAAAAAGGAATAAGCCATTCAAATAAAGAGCTCAATCAGCAGATGGCGGGCGGGTGCGGTTTTAAAAATTGGTCAAAAATGTTACTGTGGATGGATGGCGGACGGATGATGAATTTTGTCATGCGGTTGCGGATGAAATAATAGCCCATCCGCGCATCTCTAATGACCACCAAACACACACTAGACTAAACTATTCTGACTCGGTATGCCATATCTTTTCCGACTGATCCGACTTTCGATTTTCCGAAAAACATCCCGGGACCGTTGGAAAAATCCCATAGACTTAACATTGGACCAAACTTTGTGACCTCATAACTCTGCATCAGACTGTCACACAGACTTCTAACTGGGCTCAATTAACTCAGACTACCTAACTGCCAATAACTGATAAGCTTTTAACTTTCTGGCCACGCCCTAGCAACCACTTTTGGACCCTAGAAACTGTCCCATAGACTTCCATTCAAAAGACTCTCATTGACTTAACATGGGATCAAACTTTGTGAGCTCATAACTCTGCATCAGACTGTCCTACAGACTAGTGGCTGAGCTCATTTAACTCAGACTACCAAACTGCCAATAACTGATGAGCTTTTAACTTTCTAGCCACACCCTAACTACCAGATACTGCACCCTAGCAACAACTGTCCCATAGACTTTAATTGCAAAAGACTGTCATTGACTTCATAATAAATCTAACTTTGTGACCTCAAAACTATCTATCTATCCTTTTTCAAACTGCTTTTATCTATCTATCTATCTATCTATCTATCTATCTATCTATCTATCTATCTATCTATCTATCTATCTATCTATCTATCTTTCTATCTGTCTATCTATCTACCTATCTATACACTGCTTTAATCTATCTATCTATCTATCTATCTATCTATCTATCTATCTATCTATCTATCTATCTATCTATCTATCTATCTATCTATCTATCTATCTACCTACCTATCTATAAACTGCTTTAATCTATCTATCTATCCATCCATCCATCTATAAACTGCTTTAATCTATCTATCTATCTATCTATCTATCTATCTATCTATCTATCTATCTATCTATCTATCTATCTATCTATCTATCTATCTATCTATCTATCTATCTATCTATCTATCATCTTTTCATACTTTTTAAAACTGTTTAAATTAAACAAACTATTTCCAACAGACTTTCTCAAGCCAGCCTAAAGTTTGTCTCGACGAACTTTAATAATCTAGTATTATTATACAATTAATATTCTAAATAAATAACAGAAATTTGTCCTAAATGTAACTGGAACACAAAGACACAACTGGAGTGATGTATTAAGATCATTTAAGAAATCTTTTGCAAGAATATTAAAGAACTGAATTTGACAATTCCATAAGATACAAAAAGATATGTTTTATAGAATTATCTGTGGGCTGCACGGTAGCGCAGTAGGTAGCACTGTCGCCTTACAGCAAGAAGGTCGCTGGTTCGAGCTACGGCTGGGTCAGTTGATGTTTCTGTGTGGAGTTTGCATGTTCTCATTGTATTTGCGTGGGTTTTCTCCAGGAGCTCCGGTTTCCCCCACAGTCCAAAAACTATAGGTGAATTGATGAATTAAATTGACCATAGCACATGAAGGGAAGGGCATCCGCTGTGTAAAACATGCTGGATAAGTTGGCGGTTCATTCCGCTGTGGCGACCCCTGATTAATAAAGGGACTAAATCGAAAAGAAAATGAATGAATGAATGAGAATTAACTGTTGTCTTTTTAGACCTGAATTGTGAACTGTTTTAAGCCTAATCTTACCTGCCTGACTCTTCATCCTTTTCTGCTTCATAGCATGTTTAGTTAAAATAAGATCATCATCATATTGTTTTAATTTTTGTTTTGTCCACTTGTAAAACCTACACAGGTTTCACAATGCATAATCGCTGCATATATTTTCGAGGTGTCCCAGAGTTGCAAAAACTTCGAAGTATTTTGAATGTACACTTGCTTTATTAAAATGAAAGAATGTCCAAGACAAAGCTAATAAGTGTCTTATGAGTATATGTACACTTGCAGTGGAATTTACTGGAATTCACCTGAAATCTTGCCTAGGGCTCCAAATTGGTTAGGGCCGGGCCTAATTATGATCATGCTGGATAATCGTGCATGCTCGTCTGTTTTAACACACTGCAGCAAAGCAATAATTTTTAACGGAAGAAGATGTCTGCCTCACTGAAAAGAATTGATGAAGAGAATAGACAGTTCAAAGTTGAATGAACAGATAAGTATGTGTTTATTTTGCCCTAAGCCAGCTCGAATCAGTAACCTTCTTGCTGTGAGGCCATTGTGCTACCCACTGCACCACCGTGCTGCATCTTATGGATGTTTATTAAAAACAAGTTATGTAATATCAATTGTTTCATACCTTTGCTTTGACCTTAATAAAAAAATTCAGATTTGGACCTTTTAATTGAGAACCCTTGTTTCAGGCTATCATTAACAGATAGACCCAGATCATGAGCCTATAGAAATCTGCACTGGACTTTTTTTTCAGTCTGATTCCCACTGGTTTTATTTTGCAAACAAACGCCCCCGCTATTTATTCACTTTTTGTTTATTTAAAACAAAATTCTTCTAACTGTTAATTCCCTGTTAAGACAGCGGTGAAGCCGAATGGTCTCTCTTTGCTGAACCTTTATGTTCTGTGCAGATCTGGGTAAGTCGGCATGAATATGGTTTCATTTTCCACACTGGGGCTGATAACAAAGTTCTCTGGAATTATTGTAAAAAAAAACCGCATTGTTGCCTTGGTAATGTAAGCGTAATTTCAACAAAAAATGTGAGAAAGTGGCATGAGAATAATGTCAAATGTGCGAGTCTTGTAAAATAATAAAAATTCTACATATATCCTCCAATTTTCATTTTAATTTGAAGCAAGCTAACAAAAAAATACAAGACATTTTGTAAAAATGTACCAAAAGTTTAAAATATTCATTTAACAGTTTAATTGTTAATAGAAAAATATATTTGATTTATTATTATTATTATTTTACATTTTTTTACATAGGTGGCACCATGGCTCAATGCTTAGCACTGTTGCCGCACAGCAAGAAGGTCACTGGTTCGAGTCTCGACTGGGCCAGGAGTGTTTCTGTGTGGAGTTTGCATGTTCTCCGTGTGTTGGTGTGGGTTTCCTCCAGGTGCTCTGGTTTCCCTCACAGTCCAAACACATGCGCTATAGGGGAATTTAATTTACTAAAATGGCCGTGGTGTGTGAGTGTGAATGAGAGTGAATGGGTGAATGGTGGAAGGGCATCCACTGCGTAAAACATATGCTGGACTAGTTGGCAGTTCGTTCTGCTGTGGCGACACCTGATAAATAAGGGACTAAGCCAAAAGAAAAATTAATAAATGAGTTTTAAGACTTTCTGGACTCGGCCGGACTCGGATGTTAAGGACTCGGACTTAAGTCCGACTCGACCCCTTTTGGACTCGGACTTGGACTTGTACTTGTACTCGACTGGTTAAGGACTTGGTCTTGACTTGGACTCGACAAAGGTGGACTCGACCCCAACTCTATAAGGCGCTGACGAACTTCTTCCAGACTCTAACCATCACTATAAAATAAATATTCAACACAAATGTTAGTTATCAGTAAGAAAAGAGTCGGGAACATTTGTATGTAATATTCGAGTGCTTTTAAGGACTAAATTTACCTGAAATTGGCAAAAGCAGCCGCATGAGCAGCTTTGTTGACAGCCAGATTGAGTGAGCGCCATTGCTTAGGGATTAGGGAGTCGACTCCAAAAGAGTCGATTTCTCGATTCCTCAATTTACATTGTGCTGTAATCGACTCGAAGAAAGGAATCGACTCCCAGAGACGAGTCTGTTTTTTTCAAACCCTCCAGAATGAAGCAGTTTTACGCTACACTACAGTTATAATACTCATTCTTGAGCACGATGAACATCGAAGACACGTTTTACGCGTTTGCTTTTGAATCTTAAGACCACGAGCACTAGCTATTAGAATTAGTGCTGCGGGAGTGCTCTTTGTAACGTTATTATGTGACCACAGAATGACCACAACAGAAAGTCTTCCTAAAGTCATACTGGGAACGTTATTTTATGACTAAAAGAGAACGTATTAAGAACACCCCTAATGTTCTGTAAAGGTTCTGGACTTTTATTACATTTAGGGAACTTTCAGGGAACGTCGCCTCCTACCAGGGTTATCAATCGTTAGTGTGCATATTATTTTTTTTCTCACCCTGTATTTGTTTCCAGGACTGCTAGTGAGCGAGTGTTTGGTTGTTGTTTTTCCCACGGCATTTCCTCAGCGCTCACCCAACCGCTTGTTTACTTTGATATTTGCTTTTTCTGGGACTCACTCTTCAATAAAGACTTGTTTTTCTGCATTTCTTGAGTTCACTCTTTTTTTTTTTCTCGTAACAAGTATTTTTTCTCGTAACAAATTTATGTCTCATCAATTTGACCAAAAATGATCTGGGATTAATCATATAAGAATACGCTTAAATATGTATGTGTGTAATGGACCCCAGGAGGTTGATATGACAAGATCAATCTAAATATGATCTGCTATGTTTTTACATTAAATGTGCATCAAAATTAAGGTTTGTGTAGTCAATGTTTTAGTGCCTTTTCACTTCAGCTTTTGATGAGTTTTAATGATTTACTAAAAACTTAACTTTTTTTTATTTCAGACCTAATTGAAGACTATGAGGAGAGTAAAGAAGAGGAACATCATGTCAAAATTGAGGACAAAACTCATTTAGAGACTGATGGTATTTTAAAAGTGAGAGACAAGAGTTGTTTCACCTGCACTCAGTGTGGGAAGAGTTTGGCTAGCAAAAGCAAACTAAAGACTCACATGAGGATCCACACTGGAGAGAAACCATTCACATTCACTCAGTGTGGGAAGAGTTTTAACAAATCATCAAATCTTAATCTACACATGAGGATCCACACTGGAGAGAAACCATACACATGCACTCAGTGTGGGAAGAGTTTTAGCCACTCATCACACCTTAATCAACACATGATGATCCACACTGGAGAGAAACCCTTCGCATGCACTCAGTGTGGGAAGAGTTTCAGCCTATCGTCATCGCTTTATAGACACATGAAGGTCCACATTGGGAAGAAACCATTCACATGCACTCAGTGTGGGAAGAGTTTCAGCCTATCGTCATTGCTTTATAGACACATGAAGGTCCACATTGGAAAGAAACAATTCACATGCACTCAGTGTGGGAAGAGTTTCAGCCTATTATCATCACTTTATAGACACATGAAGATCCACACCGGGGAAAAACCTTTCACATGCACTCAGTGTGGGAAGAGTTTCAGACAATCATCATACCTTAATAAACATATTAGGATCCACACTGGAAAGAGATCATTCACATGCACTCAGTGTGGGAAGAGTTTCAACAAATCATCAAATCTTAATCTACACATGAGGATCCACACTGGAGAGAAACCATTCACATGCACTCAGTGTGGAAAGAGTTTTAGCCACTCATCACACCTTAATCAACACATGATGATCCACACTGGAGAGAAACCATTCACATGCACTCAGTGTGGGAAGAGTTTCAGCCAATCATCATCCCTTAATAAACACATGAGGATCCACACTGGAGAAAAACCATTCACATGCACTCAGTGTGGGAAGAGTTTCAGCCTATCATCATCGCTTTATAGACACATGAAGATCCACACTGGAAAGAAACCATTCACATGCACTCAGTGTGGGAAGAGTTTCAGCCAATTATCATCACTTTATAGACACATGAATATCCACACTGGAGAAAAACCATTTACATGCACTAAGTGTGGGAAGAGTTTCAACCAATCATCATACCTTAATAAACACATTAGGATCCACATGGGAAAGAGATCATTCACATGCACTCAGTGTGGGAAGAGTTTCACCCACTCATCACACCTTAAAAAACACATGAAGATTCACACTGGTGTGAGAGAGTATATGTGCCTGGAGTGTAAGAAGACTTTTATTACAGCTGCAGAATTGAAACGGCACCAGAGGATTCACACTAGAGAGAAACCGTACAAGTGTTCACTCTGCAGTAAGAGGTTTACTCACTCAGGAACCCTGAAAACACATGAGAGGGTTCACACTGGAGAGAAACCGTAGACATGATCAGTGTGTACAGAGTTTCACTCATTCGGGGCAGCTTAAGAAACACATGGGATTGTTTCCAGTATGGCGTCGACACATGTAGTAGCATAGAAAAAGCACTCCCATACACACTGGTAGTAATCCTCCTTTTTACATCATATGTGATAACCTAAACCATATTTAAATAACATGGAGGAAGACAAAAACAAAAAGGCTAGGACAAAACAACCATTGAATAAAAAAAAGAGAAATCAGATGAAAAATTTGAGACGGACAGGATGGCATTGCAGTAAAACATATGGACATCAAAGTTTTCCAGATGGATATTAAATCTGATTTAACTGCCTTCCAAGATTCTCTTGCAAAAGATGTGAAAATGGAAATAAGTTACTTTAAACAATAAGTCAATCAAAAACTGGATGGCCTTATTACGGACCTAAACGCAACAGCAGAAAAGGTCAACAAAGTGGAGCAGCGAGTTGGAGAATTGGAGGAGAACATTGCTGAGATGAAAGAAATTCTTGATCAAACCATCCAAATTCAAGAAAACTTACAAGAATAACTTAGATCTAGAAACACGCTCCCGTAGAAATAATATTCAGATTTTTGGAATCCCAGATGGGATTAGAGAATAGTATTCAAGACTTTGTGGAAACAATTATCAAAACGAACTGTCACTTGACGAAATGGACCTTAAAATCCAACGATGTCAACGGAGGCATCAAGAGATCTGAAAGAAAAAGGACTAATAAACAGCAAAGAAGAAACTATTATAAGAATCTCTGGGAAAGAGAAACAAAGATCTTGGCAAAGTTTGGAGTGACATCGAAGAAAAGAATTTGAAATTAAATTTTAAAGAGACAACACTAGCTCCGTTTGAAAGAAGGGTAAACCCTGACAGATCCTCACAAGGAACTCTGAGAGACTAGTAAAACTTCTTGAGTTGATTCACCGATAATGGACATTTTAAATCGTTTTAAGGAAGAATGGTATTTAACTGAACTGACCAGCAACACAAGTTGAACGATTAAAGCACACCAAGACTCGAGTCATTGAGTAACATACTGCTAGGAAGACATAAAGGGATTCTATTTTATACATTGTTGGAATTTTTAGCCAATTCCATGCGTGTTCAAGAGAAAAGGTCAGGAGAGGTTTTTCTTCAATGTTAAAAATATTAGTAGTTTATTGGATACAATTGAATCATTCGATGACAGAGCTCTGGGTTACATTACCTCAATGCAATACAAGAATTACATTCAAGAGGTTCGCAACTAACATACATTTCCTGACTCCAGCATATATACACAACCGATCTTAACAGGTGGAGTTTTGGTGTAACGTCATTTGTCAGTCATTGTTCAGTCCTCCATTGGCCACACCTTCCACATACTTCCTCTTTTTCTACGAATTCTCTGCACAACAACAAAGCATACATCTTTCTGTGTTCAGTTTTAACACCTCTCTTCAGACAGGAAGTTTCTGCAGAGCTAAATTTAATTTTGGACCCGCATCTATCTTCTTCTGCAAAAATGCTAATTAGTATGCACAGCATCTCACACAACATTAGAAGTTCAGTTAATATATGACCCCTACATGACCAATACAAATTATTGTTTGTTTAAAAGAAAAAGAGACAAAAATACTAAAAAAAGATTCCTATTTTACATCAATCCCCCTTTTCTGCTCCTCATTGGAGCAGACAAAAACAAAAACAGATAATCTAATCCCCACAAATGTTTTAACTGTCATTACTGCAGGCCTTTGCCTAAATCTTTGTTTACCACTTATTCAAAATAATCGTTAACATCATAGTGCTCATTCATTATGTTAGATGATGCCCAAAACCCCTTTTAACTCAATTTCTTTTAACTTTTTTTGATTCAGTTTATAATTTCCATACTCTTGGTTCTCCTCTTCGGTGGTGCAGTCTCTTCCCTCTTGAAGTCACTCCGATATCTTCTTTTAATAAGATTTATACTTGCTATATTTAGGCTTATTACTCCCAACACTCTTATTAACTTCTAATTATCCCATAATTAAAATTTTCCATTCTTATACACTTTATCAATAAAGGTTTTTTTTCTTCCCCACCAAAATTACTAGAATTAAAATATGAATGAAAATAATAAAAAGGGTAACAAATGATAGAAATTTAAACTCCAACTTATAAAAAATAAAATCTGATCAAAAGGAAATGAAACTCGTCACCAAATTATTAAAATCAAAATTCAAACATATTCAAACTAATTTTTTTCTTTTTTTTTCTGAATGTCTTAAAATGGGAAAATCAAAAACACAACAACGTGATTAAAATAAAAATAAAAAATCTTAAGAATCTCTTCAAATAAAAGGTTCAAAAACAACAATGGCTTAAAATAAAATGATCTTCAAAAATATTAAAATAAAATGATCTTCAAAAATGTGTTCAAATAAAAGAATTTTAAAAATGTCTTAAAATAAAAGATTCAAAATAAAAGATTAAAAAAACATTGAATGTCTTAAAATAAAACATTATGAAAAAACATACAAATGTCTTGAAATAAAAGATTAAAAAAGCATTAGAAAGGCATTAAAATAAAATATAAAAAGCATAAAAATTTCTTAAAAATAAAAGATAATAAAAAATCATAAAAATGTCCTTTACATAGAAGATAAAAAAATAACATGTCTAAAATAAAAGAATAAAAAAAATTAAAAAAAATAACGTGTGTAAAATAAAATTATTTTAAAATGTGATTGTGTTTTATTATATATTTTTTTCTAAAATTTTTCCATTCTAATTTGTCCAATTCATTCATTTTTTAAGGCTTAATCCCTTTATTAATTTGGGGTCCCCAGAGTCAGTGGAATGAACCACCAACTTATCCAACATATGTTTTACACAGCGGATGCCCTTCCAGCTGCAACCCATCTCTGGGAAACGTCCATACAAACTTAATCACACACTTTCTGTCAGATTGTCATCTGCTAGTAAATCAGTCTTATTTTCTCTTTCTATTTTAGAATTTAACATGGTTTTTGGTTCCCCTTTTTGTGTTGGCCTGTATCTAATATACAGTTGGCCTCATGCATTGGTGTTGCAGCATGTTCAGCTCCCAGACCAATACATGCTTACACACTCCAATTAGTCAGATATCCCCTTTTTCTGTTTTTTCCCCCTTTCGGCCTGGGCCTAGCTCCAGGCCGTTTTACACCCCTATGTTGTGTGTCAAGTTAATCCGGCCAGCCTCACATCTTCAGCAACCTGTTTAGAAATATCGGTAATAAGGTTGTTAATTTGTCATTATATAATCTCTACATAAGTGATCCACTGCACATCAAAGCTGCACCAGGTCCCCGGAACTGCAGTCTTGTAAACAATTCAAAAGTCATTAATTCCATTGTTTTGTTCCATAACAAACTAATACCCCTCAACATGATTTTTATCCAATTCAGTTTGGTCTGTGCACAGATTTTTGCCAATTATGTTCAAATTTGTATCCATTTTCTCTACCTTTCCCTGTAATTATTAGTCTTACACCATGCCTACTTCTTGCTTCAGGCCCATTACTTGCTGCAATTTAAAATATTCAATATTTCAGTGTTTATCATTATCCACTCTAATTCTTACTCAACATGTATTTGTTTCTAGATCGTCTTTCATTAAACACTTCATCACTGTCTGACTGTCCTCCTTGCTTGCTGGCCACTCCTCCAGCCATTCATTATAGCTGTAAATCATGACTAGCACATATCTTTTCATTCACCTGTTCTCCCATATCTCTATAATCAATTATAACCTCACCCTCATTCTTCTCTTGCAGTTTCTGATATCTCTAAATATAATTAAAGTCTATAATTCATATTAGTCTTATTGCCATGTGTTTTACATTCACCAGTTTACAGTTATTTGAAATGGCTTATTTATTTGGCGATCTGACTCCACTTATCTCAGACACCACTCATCCTAATATTGAGGCGTGTTATCTAATCCCCTATAATTTTTACTTACTTCCTTTAAATCTAGTTCCATATAAATGTCATAACAACTGCTTCCCAATCAATTAGGGGTCTACTCTTTTTCTGCAAGTAAAATTTCATCAACATGCTTAATCAACACCACTCTCTCTGATAATTCAAAAATCTATCACTTTACATTTTTTCATCAGTATGACCATATTTCTGCAAACACTATTAACCTCAGCTTTAAAATCTATTCTCCTTAATTGCTTCTAAATCAAAAACTAAACACAATCTTCTTTTGTTTGTTGCTTACTTGTAAAATTATATTCAAATTAAATTCTATGTTTATAACTCAGTTAAAGAGCCCATATTATGGGTTTTTGAAAATTCCCCTCCATGTAGTGTGTAACACAGCTCTAAGTGAAGTGAAGTATCCAGCTAAGGCTTAAATCTGTAAGAATACAGTGTTTAAAACTGTTGATTCATCTATAAAAGAGTCGATTCATAATGCTTCAAACGAGTCGCCTTGATACCGACTCATTAGGTGTTTCGCCATGACGTATGAACGAAACAAAGTTTTTCACGTGCACGCGCAAACCCGGGAGATTTCAAACCTGAGGCCCCGCCCTCTGACGCAGTAACCCAGACACACACACACACCCACAAACACACGCACACAAACATGCCGGTCGATTGAAGTCACATTGCAGATGGATATATTGAGTCTCTACCCAAAGATGAAACCTCAGCATTATAGCCAAGCAGTTGGAAACTACTGGAAACTTCTGGAAACTACATGCTACAAAGAATACTTCATCTGCGTTTGTTAAAGGAAGGATCAGTAACTTACTGATGGACATCAGGATGGGTTTCTTCCATTTCTCAAGTGTAAGTACGTGCGGTTAAAGTTGTTGCCTCGTTGACTCTAGCTTGCAAATGTATTTAGTTGTGTTTTGTTACTTGTAACCGAGTGTACTGTATCAGGTTAA